GCTGTCCTCATTTCCCTGTTTCATTCTTCTCTGTTTCCTGGTCACAGGCCCTTGTCTCAGGCTCTGGTTTTTGGAGACTTGGGCTATAATGCCACCTGAGTCCTGGTGCTGCAAATTATCTATTGGTATTTAGTGTCTTCTCTAGCCCCTTCCATATTCCTCTGTGTTACAGGGGCTGGAAGGCTCACGACTGCCTTTCCTAAATTCCCTTGCTGCTAGAGATCCAATGCAACATAGGCTCTTCCAGAGGGAAGCACTGCCCAGAGAGTCAGAAGGCAGAAGGGAGGTGGAGGCCTGCAGCATGGGGCTGATGGGTGGGATCTGGCAGTCAAGAGATTTTTGCAGCAGCAGGAGACTATGTTCCTCCCACTGTCTTGTCACCAGCTTAATGGATGTGCAATTGGGAGGTTGCAATAATTTTCTGCAAGGTGGCAGCTGCGGTAGTGTGACCAAGAAGGGTAAAGGTGGCCCAAACTTCCAGTCCTCCAAGTCTTCCAACATTTAATTCCCTACATTAAATCTCTTTCTGCACAAAATACCTGGAGTGTTTTCTGTTTCCTGCACTGAACCAGGTTTAGCTCCTTCACCTTCACCATATACTACACCATCAGGCTCAGGTAGAAGGACTCTGAAAGATCACACATTTACCCAAAGAGACATCCAAAAAGAGACTGCAAGTCAGACTCTGTTGCTTACCTACTCAATAGCCATTCCCCTCTCTTCCTCAGCAGATCAACTTCCCTTACAGAAGCCTGGCCTTTCTTGCAGCTGGGATTTGGTTACGTAAACTAATCCTGGCCTGAGGAGAGTGTGCAGAAGGTGGGTCCTGGGATAGGTTATCTCCCCTGATAAAAGGACTCACAGAGGAGAAATTCTCCTCCCTGCCGTGGATGGAATTCTGTGAGAACATGATGCTTGGGGCAGCAATGGCCATTTTGCAATCATGAGAGGATAAGTCTGAGTCTCAAAGTCTATATACGAGGATGGCAGAGTGGACAGATAGAAAACACCCAGGTCTATGATGACATTGATGAGCTGCTAAATTTGTCCTGGAGCTGCCTACTTCTAGCAAGCATCACTCCGGCAGGATCCTCTTCTTCTGAGCTATATAGAGGCCACTCTAGAGCCCTCCAAAGTTTCTTCCATGCTGAAATCCTGGGACTCAGGGATGCTGGGAGCCCTGGGGGCTGGGCTGGGACTAGGGTAAGGCAAGTGAGGTACTTGCCTGGGTGCAAACTTTAAGGGGTGGCAAAAAAACTTGCTAATTAAGATAGTATTTTAACATAATATTTTAAAAAATGAAAATTAATGCAAAAAGTACGAGAACAAAATGTCAAGATTTTAAACAATGAACTGGTGTCACCAGCTAGGTCTGCTCGTCTTGTGTTTCCACACAGGGTACCCCCAGTGATCTCCTCTAGGAAAATCCATGCAACGAAGAGGCAGGGCTCTGCGATTTGGAGAACTGGGTTCAAGGCCAGGCTTTACCAATGATGGTACTGACAATCCCAAGCAAGTCCCTTTCCTTCTCTGGACTTTGGTTACCCCGCCTGTCCTGAATGGAGGCTGGGGGATTGCCAGGGTGGCCTCCTGACCTGTCCTCCTCATCCCCATGGCCTGCTGAGGACACAGCCTCTTCCTGGGAGGCTGTGTCTCCAGGGCCATCGACTCCTGGCTATTAATATCTCATCCATCCCTGGCCTGATCAGGGTGTTTAATGACTGCCAGCTGTGGCTCCTGCCCCCTCCCCCGGGATAGATAGGAGCAGTTCCTGTTCCCACATGGGGGGAGGCTGGGCCATTGCTCTTTAAAACAGGCCCTGGGTGAGCGGTGGGAATGGAGGGCTGATTCCAACTCCTCACCCCACCCCTGCCAGCACACTCCCTACACGCCCCTCCCCTACAGGGGCTGCCCTCATCTCCCTGCCCCTTGTCTGGGCCCTGTCACTTTAGATCCTGATTCCCACAGTCTTGGGGCTTCTCTACATTCAGCATGTCCCAAAGCATGTCCCCATCTCCCCAACCCTCCTCCTCCCTCACCTGGATGATGGAATGGCAGCTTTGCCCAGGCCTGCCCCTTAGGCCGTTCTCAGCAGCCAGAGTGGCCTGCCCAAAACCCACCCCGATCCCCTTGGCCTTGTGTAGGAAGCCTCCTGAGGGAAAGGGCCCCCTATGCCTGCTCCCCTGGATTCAGGTGTCCTTGGCACCCATCATGTTCCCTTGGGCTCCAGAGACCCCTACCTAGTTCTCGGAGAAAAGCTCAGTGTTGTCTCTCCTAAGAAGCTATCGCTGTCCATTCTGCTGGCAGACTGGCTGTCCTCCTTGGGCAGCCTGTGCCCTGGAGTGGCAGGAATCGCCCACATGGTGGCCTCCACCACGTAGGGGATGGTGGCTCTCTGCACTGGGATGGTGGGGGGTCCTTGTCCTTGCCTCCAGAAGGTAGCCATCTGAGTTAACTGGGCCTTGCCCTCAGAGACTGGGGTCAGGGCTCAGGGAGGGACCAGGGCCAGCCTGTGGCCAACCAGAGGCTAGGTTCTATCTGGGGTTGCAGCTGGGTCTAAGGTGGGGTTTGTGTCAGTGGCCTGGGACTGAGGAGAGGCCTTGGACCTCCCTAATTTCATGCTAACCCTGAAAACCAGTCCTGTGGTCTCACCACCTCCTCCTGCTTGTTTCTCCCTCTGCCTGGAGCTCAGGAGAGAGATCTGCCGTCTGTGTCACTTGACCTCCTGGGAAGGGGCCTGTACCCAGGTGTTTGGGCCTTAAGGCCAACTTTGGCGAAGTCCTTGGAGCACCCACCAGGTGGCGATAAAGATGAGTTGGCCTGGCCTGACAAGTGCATGGCAAGGCAGGAGGGGGACCTGGGAGCTGGGGAGGAGAAAGGGAGCTGGGAGAAATCTGCTTGTGGTCACCCCTATCCATGACTGTTCCCAGCCTGGGTTGCCTGTCTATGGCCTGTTTGGGTTTCCCCCATCCCCGAATGCCCATCACTGAGCTTTTCCTTTCCTGTCACCTCTCTGGGCAGGGCTCCACCTATGTTTTCCTTTTTGTTGCTCACGTCTTGGGTCTCTCTGCTTCCTTCACTCTCCACCCTCTCGGCTGATAACTTCTCCCCTCCCAGGGCTGCCTGCCTTACCCTAAAGCCATTACACACTAACAGGGGACTTTGGTCACTGTGGTGTGTGGGCCAGGTCCAGCTTGGCGTGGGGGCCCCTCCTGGCCTTTACGCAGCTTAGGCAGCCGGTAGGGTCCCTGATCGGGAGGACAGGGTGCTGCCCTTTCCTCTGCAAACACTCCGCTCCCACGGGCCTGCTGGTTCTTCCCATTTCTGTTTCCACTCTCCTCTGCCCTCCTCTAGCAGCCTGAGCGCGCCTCTCAAGAGGGAGTCCTGCCAGTCTCTGACCTTCTCCCTGCACAGCCTCTATCCTCTGTGTATTCCCCAGCTCCCAGATGGCTTGAGCTCCCCATCTCCAGCCGCTGTCCTCCCCCTGAGCCAAGAGTGGGTGGCAGAGGGCTTTGGGCCATCCCCTCTTCAGCCCCCTACGCCTTAGCCAGGAGCTAAGCTAAGCCGGCTAGCACCCTCCCCTGTTGTGCAGGTGGAGAAACTGGTGCCCAGAGAGGGGCGTGGGCCTGTTCATGATCTCTAAGAAAGTCTGAAGCAGAATCGGCACTGAAAGACTACGGCTGGGTCTTCTGCACCTTACTGAGGTGCATGGGTGGCTGAGTTCCCTGGAACTGGTTCAGAGAGGCACGAAGTAGAGAGGCGAGTGAGTGACACGCCCTAGCTGGGTGAGGGGAGCACAGACAGTCTGCCTGCTCCCTATCTCTCATCCCCTATGCCTTGGAGGGGTAGGCATGCGAGAGGCCCAGGGAAGAATGGAACAAGTCCCAGGTGCCCAACACCCCACCTCAGCTCTCCACCACCAGCACTTCATTGGTGGTCACTGTTGGTCTGGGTAGGGTAGGGTGCCGAGAATGTTCTCTCCAGTGGGCCTGAAGTGTCTGAAGTCAAGACCAGGGGCACCGCCTCCTCGTCATCCTACAGCTGAGCATGCACAGGGCAGGGCATGGAGTGTGAATCCAGAGGGAGAGAGCCTGCTGCCCCTAGGGATGCTGGAATAGCTGATCAAAGGGCATTTCCCTGGGGCTGCCCAGCCCCGGGTTCACAGTCATTCTTATCCTGGCCTGATCATCCCTGTCCTGGGCCTTCAAGGGTGCTGGGTTGGAGCTGTCCTTTCATGATGGGTCCTGGGCTGGCACTGAGTAGGACAAGGCTTTGAAGGAGCCTTGTAGGCACATCTGAGACTTTGCCTGCCTCGTCTCACAACTTTTTACCAGCGTGGCATCCCTCGCCTACTCCTCCAGCAAGTTTGCAGGAGGCAGAACCCAGGGAGGGCAGCTCGGCAAGGCTTTGGAGACAGCTCTTGCCGACTGACATCTACTTCACCATGCTACCTCTCTGTCTAAACCTTGCTATTAGTTGTATTGTCTCTGTTTGGTCACTTGTGTTAATGACATTTGTGCTGTCCTCTACCTCTTCTTGGCTGAGCCCTGGGCAATGGTGACATGGTCATTCTATACCTCATTTGCTCCTTGTCTGCAGGAGTGACTGAGACCTGTGAAATACTCACAGTTAACTATATTTGGGACCACAGGAAGCTCTGTCAGATGTTTTGTATTGATCCAAGACTAGAATGATCACCTCTTGACTGGACTTAGGGATTGGGGGACATAATGGAGACCTGGTCTAACATCATCACACTCAGAAGAAAGAGAATACACCTTGAAAAGATGGGAGTTGAAGACCCTCAAAACGGTGTGCTTCTCACATGGAAATGGGTGTGTGTGGAGAGGTTCCTGTCAAAAGCCAGAGGTGTGGTGGCATCTGGCTTCAGCATTGCTATGGACACCCCTCCTTGGGGTGGGGGGAGATCACTGCAAGGTGAAAGCTGGTTCCCATTTTAGGCCACGTAAGAACATCAACCACCAGGAGAACCAAGCCAATCCAAGCCAATATTTATTGTCGCACAAGCCTGTTGCAGTCCTGAGGGGATCATCCGGTGGGGGTGTGGGTAGGAAGCCATGTGGCCACAGGGGTGAAGGACAGACAGAGGATGCCACGAACTGACTCTTGTCCAGATGATACATGAGCTGAAGGACTCCTCAGCCACACTCCAGGGAGGGTAGGGTGGAATAGGGACTCAGGAATAATGGCAGTAACAGTATCAGTGGTGATACAAATAACGAGAGGATCCAGCTGGTTACAATATATAAAAGGTAGCAGTTAAGAGTCTGTGCTTTCACCTTTCCATCAGCCAGATCTGAGTTCAAATCCTGTCTGTGCAACAGGGTGAGGTACCTGCTCTCTGTGAGACTGTTTCCTGATCCACGAAATAGGCACAGTAATTCCCACTTTGCTGGGTTGATTCAAGGATGAAGGTGCCCATGAGTGCACGTCTCTGAGTCTGGTTGCAATAGTTGGCACGTAGGTGGGCAGCCAAGGAGGGCAGCTCTTGATCCCTGTTGCTGCCACAGCCTGTGGGATGCGTATGACCGGTGTCGCTGATTGCACTTGATGGATGAAGCCAGATGGAGCTTGGAGAGCAGATAGGCTTAGTCTGAGATCTCAGCATTTGCTGGTGGCTGTCTCCTCACTTCCCAGAGGCCTCAGAGTTCCTCAGTCTGTGGGTTGCATTTTTCCAGCCACCAGACTGATGCTGGGACCACTCCACTTCGGGGGGACTACAAAGGTAGCTATGCTCCCCAAATCAAAACTCCGGACAGACTAACTCACTCACCTTGAGGAGCTGGTAGCTAAGAGGAGGGCACCCGAGGAGAGACCTGCATCTTCAGAGAGATGCCTGAATGGCAATGCTTAACCCACAGGAACTTGGCAGCGATGGTGAAACTTCAGGCACTGTCAGGGGCGGGTGGTTGTGGCGGCCTTCCGGTGCAGGACCTTTCTGCCCTCAGATCACAGCCTTGTTTGAGGGTGAGCGGTTGCTTTCCTCTGACTGGACAGAAGAGCTACCAGGGGCGGAGTCAGGATGAAAGTATGCATATTTCTCGCCCTTGATTGGAGGAGGGGGCCTCTAGAGGAGAAGTCTGATGACTAAGTCCCACCCCACATCCTCCAGGGGACATCTGCTACTTGCCTAGAAACGCAGGAGGCCGGCTCAAGGGCTGCGTTCTCCAGGAGTGTCCCGAGTGACCTGGGGGTTGGGGCAGCCTCCGAGCCCAGGGCTGGGGCTGGCCGCGCCCTGGCAAGCTCAGTCCCCAGCGCTGGCTGGGGTGGGTGAGAGGGGGTGGGAGGGGCCGCCTTGGGCTCCTGGGCTCCTGGCGGTCAGACCAGGGAGACTTCGGCCTGGAAGCTGGAGGAGCGGCGTGCGCTCGGGCTGACGCGGGTCAGCATGGACACCTGCGTGCTGCACGTGGCGCCGTTGCTGCCTCCCAACGGGTGCTGGTATTTGGGGCTCCAGCCTAGGACACCCTGCAGGTGCCAGCGCCGCCACTTCCGTCGCAGCTCCGCCTGCACCTAAGAGAGGGGAGGGTGGTCGGCCCACTGCTGATTGGGCTTCTCTCGATTTAGGGTGCGGAGCCTGCCAGTCGTATCCTCTTTGGGAAGTCTAAATGGAGAGTCCCAGATGCTGCCTTGGGCAGTGCAGAGTTGGGACTCGGTTGGGGTCAAGGTCGAATCAAGGCCTTGGAGTCGGAGGAGGTGAGAGGCAGAGAGGATCAGAGAATGCAGTCCAGGGAGAGAGTGGGATGCTGCCTAGGGGCCGCTGTACCCAGTTCTCCCTACCCTGGCCCTCCAGCTCACTTGAGCTCACCTAGGTGGATTTTTGTGCATTGTAATCAGGGCTCCACAGTGACTCAACCTTCCCTTGCAGCCCCCACCCATGCCGACTCACTCTGCACACAGCCACTTAACTAGGTGTTTGTTTCTCAAACTCTAAGGCACACACGAAACCCCAGGGGTTTTTATTAAAATGCAGATTCTAAGTCAGCAGGTCTGGGGTAGTCCTAGAGATATGAATTTTTAACAATGTCCTAAGTGACCCCGATGCTACTAGTATGAGGATCACAGTTGGAGTAACAACGTTTCACCTGTCTTGCTCTGGACCCTGGGCCTGGGAGTTCTGTTCTCTGGCCCTCAAGGTCTGGGAGGGGCTTACCTCGCCATTAAGGAAGCAGTAGAGGATGGCCACCACAAAACCCTGGGGAGAAAGGGGACAGGAGAGGTAGGTAGACAGGTCTCAGGAGCTCCCACCCCTGGCCCCACCCCCGCGTTCCCCTGGTTAAGGAAAGGGCTAAGCACAAAGTACTTAACCAATACTTATTACAGTGAAAAGACTGGAATCCGGTGGCAAGGAACCAAGGCTCCAGGTTAATCCCCTTAAAGGCCAGAGAAGAACATAGCCTTAAGTCAACAGTTCATACCTGGAAAGACCCCACGATGAGCTCAAAGACCATTTTCGCTTCAGTCTTAAAGTTGTCAGGGAAGAAGGCAAACATGATGTAGTGCACTCCAAACAGGGGGATCAGCAGGAGAGTGGACTTGGCCAGCCTCCTGGGGACAGGGGAGGGGCAGGCCATGGGCATGTGTGTCCACACGGGTGGGTACCATAGTGCCTGGCATGGGAAGCTGGGAGCACAGAGATGGGGACACTGACCAGGATGTGTGAGAATGGACTGTTGGCTCTCCAAAATATGCCCAAATATGCTCCAGTTCCAAATCTGCAGTGCCTCTGCCCTCATGCCCGCGGCCCTCGTGCTGGAGGGAAGCATGAGGGAGAAAGAAACTCCCTCTATTCTCGCTCTTTTGGAGGAAAGAGCATACAGGAGGGGCTGGTAGGGGTGATGCATAACAGTGGATTTCAGCTAATGGGGAGATGTTCTCAGGTAACAAGAGATCGTGGTTCCCCCCCTCCTGGTCTCAGTTTCCCCAATCTGTATAATGGGGTAAATGTATGCTAAACATAGTCAAATTACAGAAACAGGGGCCCACTGTAAACTTGGAAATGCTTCGGGTGCTATGAAGTGCAGTGCATTTAGGAGAGAACAATTCCCTGCTGGGAATGAGGACTTCTGGGAAGGAAGTCTTTCTAACTGGGGTACTGACCACATATGCCCAAGGCCACTTGGAGGTGATGGCTGCCCAAGTTAGTGCCTGATCACCAGGGGTCACCCAGGGGTAATCAGTGGAGCCCTCTGTCTTTGGCTTTTCTACTGTGTTCACTCCTCCAGGAGTTGCCACTTTTCTGTGGGATTGTATCCCTCTCCCTCTCCCTCCTCACGCGATGCACACACTCCTAGTATGCTCTGAAGGACCAGCTCCTCCTTCACAGCCCTGTGTGCTCAGTAGAGTGGGCATTCACTCTAAATGCCCGCGCCTCTCCCACGCACAGGGTTCAGGCCTCCCAGCCACCTGACCTCATAGCTGGTCCTGGCATGTGAGCCATGGTTCCCTGGCTGGGAGAGTTCTGGGCACGGGGTGGTTAAGGAGAGTCTCTGCCTCTATCTCTACTGCCTTGGCAGTCAGTCCAGTGAGGCCTAGCATGGGGCCTGAGGTCCCACAGCAAGCTGGCCTTGCCCCTCCCACTCCTTCCCGGACCTGGTTCCTAGTCATGCTAAGATCCTGATTGCTGCCCACCCATCCTTGGCTACAAACCTATCCTGCATGCCTGAGACTGACAGATGGAGGCTTTCTTTAAATTGAAGGCTTATGGGGAGGTGGAGAGTGGGAGCTCACAGCCTCTCCTCGAGGAGCTCCATCTCCAGCTCCCCCCACCCCCTCTGCCTGCTGACAGCTGTTTCCTTTCCATCGCACCCACATGGACCTGGCCATGACCATGACCAGCTCTCTTTGCCTCAGATTCAAGCCCTCTCAAACCTTCGTATGTTAGGGGAAATAAGGCCTCATCAGCAAAGCAGAGGATGCGGGTGCGCAGGCCAGATGTGCTACCCCTCAGCAGACTGCAGACTCCCCCAGGGCCCTTGCTTCCCAGACAGGAAGGGAAGCTCTGCCTACACACCCAGCAGGAGAGCACACTGTCACACCAGGAATGTGAGTCTTAGTCTCATCAGAGACAGTCACAGGATTCCAGAATAGAATCCTAAATCCAGCAGCTCGTGACATTCTAGCCGGGAATCTTAGAATCACAGCTCAGACTCCCTAAAGAGAAGCCAGGCCAAGAAGAACATTCTAGAACCTCAGGACTGGGAAGCCTTGTGGGGCATCCCAGGTTTGTCTTGCATGCATAGCACTGAGACTCAATCTCCTGTTCCCATCTGTGGGCATGCAGACCCTACTTGCCTTCCCACGGCCTCCCTTTTCACATTTCCATGTTTCTTTAGCTCTGCCTTCAAGCCCTGTGGCTCCCATGAAGACCTGCCTGTTTCCCCAGTCCTCCCAAGCACAGGGAAGTCCTCACACCTTTCCAAGCTCTGTCCCATGGACACTGTGCCCCCTTCTCCCTGCCCATGGTGATGTGCTCCCAAACGCTGAGGAGGGAGGAGTGTGTGTCAGTTTCCCCTTTGTAAAAAGGGGGCAATTTCACAGGAGACTGCACGGATGAAATTAGATGACTCAAGAAAACCCCTTAGCACATGCCTGGCATGTAAACTGAGGACACAGTTATTACTATTGGGGAATATTGAGTCCTGAATGTGCTGCCTCATTGGTAGGCTGGGGGTTCCCCCAGGGCATTCCTCTGCTTTGCATTTATTGCACCCCCTTTATGTGCCAGGCACATGCCAGGGACTGGGCACATGGTATGAATAAGACGCAATTTATCTCTGTCTTCTCGAGTCTCCTGGCTTGGCAGCAGATGCACACCTGGGAAGGATGCCAGGTAAGTGAGTGCAGGAGAAGCAGGCTTGAGCTCTGAGGGCAGCCTGGTGAGGGCAGGGCAGGGCTGGCGCAGGGGACACTGGTGGGCTGAGCCAGGCCATGGTGGAGGTGAGCAAGAGCAATGTGGCTTTTTGGTGACCCTGCATGTTTAGGGTAGGGGGACTTCAAGGAGATGTGGGATGGTTTGCGCACTGGGGTGGAGGTACTGGGAGGTCGGAGCACTGGGCCCACACTCACGAGTATGGGCTGCTGTCACTCTTCCTGATATCTGGGGGCTGCAGTTTCTGAACCAGGATTCGGATGATGCAAATAAACAGGATGAAGTTCACCTAGTGGGTGGGGGCCCAAGATCAGGCAGTCAGAGAGGGGATGTTGGGGTGGTCAGTCCCCTGGACTGCTGGCCTGGCTCCTTCCCCAGGGTCCTGCTGCCCCCATCTTTCCTCTTCCTTAGCTCTTCCCCTTTGGGCAGATCATCCAGGGACTCTGTTTTGCATCCCAAGGACTGGGCCCCCCAACCCACTTTCTCTAGAGGAAGAACTGGTGGGTGGGGATGGGGATGGCCCTGCATTGGGCATTTGGAAGCCTATGTTTCAGCTCTGACCCAGGCACTAATTTCCTGTGTGACCTGAGGTAAGTTGCCTCCCCCTGAGCCTCAGTTTCCCCATCTCTAAGTGGTTGGAGGCCTTACCAAGATGGAGGCGAGGATGGGGGCCTTTATGATCCACCACAATGAGGAGTTGATGGTGTCCCAGCATCTGAGCAGAGTATGGTGGGGAAAGAGAGAGAGGTTGTCCTCAGCAGAGTCAGCAGTACTCTCCCTTGTCCCCAGCTCTGCCCCCAAGCCCTTTAGAAACCACGGGCCCAGAATCTGTTGCTCCCCAGGTCCCCCTCCATCCTCCCTCTCTGGGCCAAGTGCTGTGGTTTGTCCACTTGCCAAGCCTGGGTGGCACCATCAACCCACCCAGGGGATCTGTCCCCAGTGATGGCAGCCAGGGGAGGGGCGGGTGACAGCTCACCCATAATCCTCAAAATGGATCCTGATGATGGTCCACACCATGGTGAATGTGCTGGGCACCCCTGTCAGAGCCAGAGGACAGAGAAAGAGAGAAAAGGGCATGAGAAACAGGGATAGAGGGCATGAAGGAGAGATTTAGGAGAAAGAAACAGAGAGTGGGAGGGAGAGAGAACAGGGTCGGGTATTCAGGGCTGCCATCTGTGGTTGCCTAGGTTGTTCACTGTGCAAAGATGCTGCACTGAAGGGGTGAAGCTATATGCCTGAGGGGCTGTGTCCACTCAGAGGGACAGTCTGTTTCTAATTTTGACAGAGTCACCTTGTAGATTAGCAGTGACCCTGTGTGTTTCAGGGGCTGAAGGGGAATGGAAGGACATTCACAGAATCTGTCCCATAGGTCAGCCCTGGGTGCAGCCGCTTGAGGGCACCTCCCTAGGCTCAGACATTTGGGGAACTTTTCTCAACTCTTGGCCAAGATACTTGCATACAGGCAGGACCTGCAGCCTAGCAAGATCTAAGAGTGCAAGCTGGGTTGGCACCTTCCCCCCCAGTGAGCTCCCCAGGCCTTGTCCCCTCTGTCCCCAGCCTGGAAGCCCTCCCTGGTACCATACCCCAGCCGATGAGTATGTACCCCCAGAAGTACTTCCGCTCGGAGAAGAAGGAGACGGCAAGCAGGGTGTGCAGGTAGAGGCCCTCCACCAGCAGCCAGAAGAAGTTGGCCATGACACAGTACTGGAAGAAGACCATGGCTGCCTTACAGCCCACCTGCAGGGGGAGGAGCAAACAGAGGGCTCACTGGGGCTAGAAGGGGTCTTTGACTGCCCACACCCCTGTCTGTAACAAACCTCGTTACAGTACAGCCACCTAAATCTCTTTGTTGCTTTATATTATCCCCTTGAAAATGTATTCATTAGTTTTCTCATTATCCCTGATTTTAGATCATCTGATGGTTTGGGATAAACTGGTGATTTTAATTATCCATCCATCAATTCATCATCTATCTATCTTCCCATCTATATATCTATCCACCCATCTACTTGTATAATCATCCACCCACTCACCTATCCATTTATCCATTTATTTACCCATCTATGCAGTAGACATCCATGATCAACTCATCCATCTATCCATCTTCCATCTGTGAATCCATCCCTCATCTATTCGTTTTCACCCAGCTATTAATCCTTACACCCATTCACCTATCTCTCCATTCATTTACCAACCCACCCATCCAGCCATCTATCCATCCATCCATCTATGCACCCACCCATCTAATGCATCCATTAGGGCACTCATGCATCCATCCCCTATCTACCCACCCACCCCTCTACCCACTGTCTGTCTAATCTTCCTTGCTTTATCCATCTATTCTTCTGCCTACTCAGACATTCACACATCTATTTACTCCACTATCCATCAGTCTGCCCATCCACTCACACCCCCACTCATTCATCTCATTCCAATTAGGATTGAAAGTAGCTGGAAGAAGTATGAGGGAGAATTCTTGCTCGAATTTGCAAGAGTCTGCTGAATGTGTGGGGGTGTGGACTGTAGACTACTGAGTGGGGCCCAGGTGGAAGTGTGGAGCAGAGACTGAGACTGAGAAGAGAGTAGAGGAGGGGGAAGTAGAAGTGGAGAAAAGAAAAGGGGAGGGTGGTCATTCCTCCTAGGGGTCAGGGAGACCCCTGAGTGAGGCAGTCATGGGGCTCTGGGTGTCCCATCTGGCATGTTTGGAAGGTCTCTGGGCCCTCTGTCCCCTTCCGGAAACAGCCTCCCATTTCAGATCAAGACTAGATGTCTGTAAGCCAGGGCTTAAAGCCACCCTCCTCCAGGAAGCCCTCTAGCTTCCACATCCCCCTGTACTCAGAACTCCGGTTCCCACCCTTCCTTCCTATACTCTTGGCTTTGAGACATCCTCAGACAGACACCTCCTTCCCCCACCCTTCCCCCTCCCTGTGGTTGGAAAGTCCTTCCTCAGGCTGTGCTTCAGTCCCTCTAGCTACAGGAGTGCTTGTGTCGCCCACCTTCCCCCCATTTGCTTTGCAAGAATAATTCAGCTCTTTAAGGTACAGGACAGTTACCTGTACTGTGACTTTGCCTTAGAAAAGCTTTACAGAGCTGCTAGTGAATTGGGAAGCCAGTCTCCACAAGTACCCTTAGCAAGAGCACTAGAGGCTGCAGGCTGTGCAGTGGCTCACACTGCATGTGTCTGACTTGGCTCCCAGATCCTGGGATGGATCCTCTGAGGAGCTCTGGAAATGGCCAAGGTGGGTCCCCTGGGTTTCTCTCCCCCTTGTTGAGATGCCTGTGATTCCACTATCATAGGTTCCCTCTTTGGGGAGAAGATACTGCTGACCCCTATATAGTGCATTGCCTCTGGGGTCACTCAGGAAGCAATGAGTCACCATTCCACAAGCAATGGGTGGGGGCTAGGGCCAGTCTCAAGCTCCCTGTCCTAGCTCAGGGGCACTCAGCGAGGGGCCTTTAGCTCAGAATCACTTGGAAGTGGACCCCTTAGTGACCGGCGATGAATTCCTTACATGATCCCTTAACCTTCCTTCCCTAGGAAGGCCCAGAACCTGCCTACAGCAGGGACAGAACAGAAGAGGAGGACCCACTCCAGATGGCAAGGGAAGGTCTGGGGAGTGGGAAGGGTGGCATGGTGAGCGGAGCCCTGGGGATGCAAATGGCAGAGGGCAGAGTTGGAAGGAATCTTGGAAGTCCTTGCACAGATGGGGAAACTGAGGAAGTCCTCCAAGGCCATACAGGAAGTTAGCAACTGGGGTGGGATGGGGCTCTGGGCTGTGGCTATGAAGTGTCCCATTTCCCACCTGCTTTTCTCATTGGCAGGGGCAGGTCACTGAGCTCCCAGATGGCTGAGTGACATCTGCTATTGCTGGGAGGGGAGTGGGATTTGAGGAGCTGCCAGATGGGGTTGGGTGGGGGTTTGGCCACCTTGGACTGCGAGAGAGAAAGACAGAGGGAGGGGGAAGAAGGGAAGAGGAGATTTTGGTGATTAAAGATGAGGGTGAGACTGGGGATGGTGGGCCAGGGTGGGGGTCCTCACCGAGCCCTCGGAGCAGTGGTCCAACTCCCCGCCATTGTAGAGGGCCAAGTCTTTGATGAAGACAGCGGCAGCCCTCAAGATGAAGGATATGAAGAGGTTCATGTGGATGTAGTTCCGTGTGCAGTGGAGCTTCCTGCATGGGGCAGGAAGATCTGGGAGGCGGAAGGGACCTTGCACCCCCACCTCAGCCAGCGTCATCCTATGCTCTGAGCAAGGGGTGCTGGGGAACATGTGGCCTCCAGAGTGCAGGCCCTGCCTTGAAGGGGGTCCCGTTCTGAGCTGTAGGCCTGCCCCCGGGTGCCCCATCCCCCTGTGCAGCTGGGCCTCTAAGTGCCTCACCCTTGACTGTGCCTCTCCCCGAGAAGCCTCATTCCAGGGTGCAGGCCCCACCCTCTGGTCCCCACGCCCTGCTCCAGGTGCAGGGCCATCCTGTGGGGGACCAGGCTACAGCAGATGAAACACCCTGGCCACCTGCCATCTCTAGGGAGGCTGGCCTGGCAGGGGGGCTTGGGCAGGGCTTGTGTGCTGCCCAGGGCACGGGGTGACAGTGGAGGGGGCCAGGACATGCCTGGGGCAGTTTGGGTTTGACCACTGGAATGACACTTGCAGATTTGCTTTGAGCCCCATTGCTTGGGCTGGTCCTCACCTGAACAGGCTCAGGATAGCTGTGGCAACCAGAAGGGTGGCAAGGGACAAGCTGTAGCCGATGGTGTAGCCGGTCTTCACAGAACTGTAGAACATTGTCTGCTGCTGCTGGGGGGAGATGGGTAAAGATTTGGTCGGGGGACTTGTGCAGGGGCGTCCCTGCCTTGGCAGATAAGGAGGCTGAGGCCTGGGGCTCCCAAGAGCAGCTGAGGGGCACCCTTTCATCCCCTGACCCCCTAACAGCCCAGTTTGCACGGACAGGACAGGACCGCATGTCAGGGCGGGAGTGGGGGTTGAATTCACTCTGTCCTTGCTTCTTCACGAGGGGTAAGTCAGTGAGGGAAAGAGTGACGATCTCACACATTCCGTGTGCTCATTGGTTCCTTCTGCAGCTCTGTGCCAACTCTGGGCTCAGCACCCTAGGGGACCCCCACATGAGGCCCTCTCTCTGGAGGTGCACAGGGAATGCAGAATGTTAAAGACGACACTGGGGTGAATTTCCCACTTTGGGCTCTCAGGGGCTGGGGTCAGCAGGATGAGGGCAAAATGGCCTTTCTAGGGGAACAAGGCTGGGCCCCAGGGGCTGCTTGCTTGGTCCCTCTCCCAATGCCCTCCCCATGGACACACGGGCAACTCAATAGTCACCCGGGCAAGCCCCTCCTTCCTCTCCCTTCCACACCCTGCCCGAGCAGAGGCAAGTGGTTAAGAGGGATTTAGGGGAATTAGGGCCTAAGGCCCCAGTGGGCTTCAAAGGCCTCTGAGAAATTGCTGCTGCCTTGCGGGGAGCGAGAGCCCTGTGGGAGAAGGGTGGCTGAGCGTGGGGCGGATGTCATCACAGACAGACACATGCATTTATACCCCAAAGCAGTGAGGGGCTCCTAGCTGAGGACCCCAATTATACTCTAGCCTCCCCATCAATATTATTATCTGGCTCCCCAGGTCCTCACAGAGACCACCTATGCTCTACCTGCTGCAGAGGCAGATCCTTGTCCTGGGACTGAGGACAACGGGCCCTGTTCGTGTCCCTGCTTTTGAGTATCTGAGGCTGTCTCTTTCCAGGACCTCAGTTTCCCCTCTGGATGTGACAGGATGGTATCTGCCTGCCTTGCCACCTCCAAGACGGGGGAGGGGCTCCCACAAGCCAGTGGGGGGCCCAGCCTGGGGGTGCTGCTTTTGCTTTTGCTGCTCTGGGGACTCCCTCCCATGCGTTATCCTCATGAAAGCCTCCTCCCACTCCCTGTCAGGGGCAGCCAGGGGATAAGCCCCCAGAAAGGCAGGCCTGGAGAGGGAGGAGGCTCGAGGAGGGCGGACCCCAGGAGTCCTGGCTCCCACAGAGACAGCAGCCGTCTGTGGGCAAGGGTGAAAGGCACTTAGGTGGGCCAGGTGCCGTGCAGGTTGGGTAGGGGTGCGCTGAGGCCCACCTCATGCAAACTTGATGCCTTGTCATCCAAGCCACAGGCAATGGGGTAGGGGCCAGGCTCCAGGTGTGTCCAGCCTTCATCGGTGCAGCTGCGGCTCACGTTGCGGCCTGGGTGGAGGGCAGGGGCAGGGAGGAGGGAGAGCTGAGGCCGGGAGCAGGGTCCCTGGAGTAGGCTGCAGAGACCTGGCTATCTCTGTGCTTGGCACAGGGCAGAGAACTCAGCCCTGTTCCCCCCAGCCCTGGTGCCGTCAGGCTCCAGCTTCCTGGACCCCAACACCCAGGGCACCATGGGGGCACCTGGGGCAGGGAGAAGCCCCTGCATGACTGCCAGGGGACCCTCCTGCACAGATGACAGAATGACAGCAGACATTCCTGGGCTCAGTCCTACCCCTGCCATGGTCTGAACCTGACCCCAGGTACAACATAAACTCTGAGCCTTGTCACAGACTCTGCCTGGCCTTGTTGCAGAAGGATCCTTGATCCTTGACCCTTGCCGTGAGCCGAATGCTGACCCTTGTTGCAGGGCCACGGCTGGGGTGGGGGCGCATGTCTGCCTCAGCCTGTGGGGCTGGGTTTCCTCCCACACCCGGCGGGGCTCAGATGTGCTGCTGGAGAGGCCCCCCAGGTGTGGCTATGGGTGTGGGTGGGGGCTGGAGGATACGGGTGCAGATCTGAAATCCTCTTAAGTGGAGAAGCAGGCAGGTCCCGCAGGAGCACCCACCCCAGCTGAGGGGTGTGAAAGGGGAACGGAGCAGCGCAGCACTGCAGGAGCTTCGGGGAGAAACCAGCTGAGGCTGGGGCTACAGGGCAGCTGCACTCTCCACTGTCCTCGGAGGCTCGAGGCCGCAGCAAAGGGACAGGACCACTCAGGGGGCACGTGGGCGAGGGGTACAAGCAAGGCTCCCCACTCTCCAGCCCCAGGGAGTGTCCTCTCCCCTGAGGGAGGGGAGGGGTTGAATAGGCAAGGGGTGAGCCAGAGAATAATCTCCCTCTCCCGTCCCAGTGCTCATTCATCACCAGCACTGTCACCACCATCGTCAGCTTCATCGCAATGACTTTTGAGAACTTGTCACGTGTCAGTGCTGCACAGATCACTTGAGGCACATCCTATTTAATCCCCTCAACCATCCAACAAGGAAGGTAAGTGCATTTCACAGCTGAGAAGTGGTGGTCCCAAGAAGTGGGTCACTTGCCCCAGGCCACACAGAGAGGACAAGATAGAGCTGGTTTGGTCTCTAGCTTGGCCTCGCCTGCTCTGAGGTGACCTGAGGACTTACTTTGGTGTCCTGACGCAGAGCTTTGGGAGGGGTCAAGGTGTCCTGTGAGCTCAGGGAGGGTCACTGTGCACATGTGTTTGATACTTCCAAACTTTGGCCGTGTGCCAGGAATATATCCGATGGTTCCATATTCACTATTTCTGTAAATCTTCCTGGCATCCCTTTGAAGGAGGTCTTATCACCCTATTTTATGGCTGATAAGGGATGGCTTGGGCTGGGGGAGGACAGCCAGGAAAGAGCAGCTCAGAGCTGGCTCTATTTCCACTGTGTGGCCCAGGGAAGGCCGGAAGGACCTTGCTGAGGAAGGGGCATTGGGCTGGGCCAGTTTCCTGCCTTGGCAACCCCTTTTCTGCCCGGGGTTCCCAACCATGCTGCTGCAAGAGGCTCCAGGGTGAGGAGAAGGGTCTTCAGCTGCCCCTACCCAGCCCTCCCAGCTTCCCACCGTTGCAGCCTGAGGTGGGCCTGGCTCGGATCCCTCAGTCCAGCCCCTCTTCAAACTGCAGGCCTGGCCCCAGCCTCAGCTCTCAGGAGCTCACGCAGGCCATGAGGCCACAGCTCCACCCGGGATCTGATTCTTTTGGGGACTTCCCCCGACTAGGCGCGGGTGGGTCGAAAAGAGGGATAAGACCCAAATCAATCGGCCTCGAAGCTGGGCTTCTAAAGCTCCAGGCTCCATATTCTCCAGAGGGACCAGGGCTTCATGAGGCCAGGCACTGTGACAAAGCAAGCACCTGGTATCGTGAATTACGCTAGCAGCATAACCGCTGTGACTCATCACACCTACACAACCTACATGGCAGCTTCACACACTGTGTGTGTGTGTGAGTGGGGTGGTAGGGTAAACATTAATGTGTTAAGGCTAGGGATCAGGAGTTTTCATTAGTCCCACTAAAAGGTGGGGATCCCCAGGCTAAGAGAAGTGAGGTGACTTGCCCATGGTCACAGCAAGGAAGCAGCAGGCCTGGGATGCAGACCAGGACTCTAGATCTTGCTGGGCTCCCAGCAGTGGCCAAAGGGGCATCCCTGGAGCCCCAGCTGCTGTAGATGGTGGGGCAGGAGAGGGGATAAAGGGTCATCTTCAGGGCTAGATGGCCTCTTTGGAGAGCCCTGGGACTGTGGTCCAGGCCTCAAAAGTGAGCTGCTCTCAAGGAGATCTCAAAGGCTGTCACCGTGGGACCTGGAGAAGCAGCCAAGAGTTTCTCTCCAGGCTGGGCCTGGGAACCTGCAGGCCCTGTGTCTGTGGAGGGGGATATGGAGGGCAGGAGGGAGGTGGCAAGGGACTTTAACCCCATGCTGGGAGGGACACCTCCATTCTCCCAGTCTCCTCCCACTCACCGTGTCTCAAAGAGCAGTCATGGGCCCTGCTCCTCCCTGGGCTTCTCCACCTCCTGAAAAGCACCACTCAGTGACTGGAGCCAGAAATTGGGGGAACATTCTCTCTCCACTCCCCTTCCCTCTCCCCGATCTGCCACCAGTCCTGTCCCAGCCTCTCTTCCCTCAACACCACCACCATCTCATTTTCCCTGTATTAGGTGGAAGCCTCTGGATGAGTCTCCCTGCTTTCCTACACACCCCCCCAAGCAGCTCCGCACCCTGAGATAGCTGGGAGGATTGTTCTAGCACCCAGACCTGACCACGGAGCTCTCCTGCTGAAATTCCTCCCACGCGCCCCATCCCAGCCAGAAAGGGCAAGCTTCTTAGTTGGCACGAAGACTTCCTTATCCATGGCATCGTGACGCAGGTGGTGGGGAGAGGAGGTGTCCCATAGACTCCACAGACATGGTGAGAATAGATGTCTATTGAATTTTCTCAACCAAAATAGGCAACCCACTTTTTATTCTAAAAAAAAGTCTCTTTATACACTCTCACTGCAGGTATGAGTAACAACAACAACAAAAAATGTCTCTCTAAATATTTGAAGGTAAAAACACCACAGACAAAAGATCTGCAGACTACAAATTAAAGAAATAAGCCACCATGAACTCTTTGGTGACTTCATGAACATTCCCTTGCCTGGCCGGGCCACCTCCTCCAGGTGTTTCATCCACCCCGGGTAGATGACTTCTTTCTAACCCCCCATGATTTTTATCATCTGTAAGCTTTCCTCAGCTTTCCCTGTAGAATCAGGTCTCTTCCTGGGGGGATACTCCTTCCCCAGTCCTGTTATCCAAAGTTGTGGGAGTCGGGGTGGGTATTATCCTACCCTACACTTGCAAACTTCCCTCTTTGGAATTGAGGGAATTGTTAGTAATTACTCAGGAAAACACCCTCTTGCCTCTACATTTTGAAACCCTAATCACAGTCTCCTATTTCTCTCCACCATTTTCAGAGACTAGGCCCACCAAGTATAGCTGTGGAGGTTGTTCACTGCACAAGGGCATCTGGCTGATGGCCTTGGGGGCGAAAATCTACTTCATATTCAGCTTGCCACTGTGTGATGTGGGCTCTAGTGAGAGGTTGATTCCTCCTGAGGAAGGGCTGACTTTTTCTCATCTGCACCAAGGCACCGAGTGGATCCCATTGATGCTGGCAGCCTCAGGGTTAGCCAGACTGTGGGCTGGAGTCCAGGTTCTCAAGTGAAGGAGCTACCTTGACACATTCCAGCAGGGACAAAAGGAAGAGCCGTTGGGAGGAATGCAATTAGCAGAGTATCAGGGAGGAAGGCAATTAGCAGGTGCTTCCAGGGATCTGAGAGAAGGCTGGTTCCCAGGCTTTGCTGATGGTCTGAGCTGTGCGACCTGCCAGGGGAGCTCCTCTCTGACCTTCCCAGACACTGGGTCCCCCTGGTGCAGGGCTGGGCTAGGTGGGCATTGGCCCGGACCATGGCATGGCAGTGACTGTTCCCAGGCTCCTCAGGAGGGCTTTGAGGTCTGTCCTTCACCAGTGAGGTCACAATACCAAGCACTGGGGGGAATAACTGGTCCACCCCAAAGAGACCATTTGGTCCACCTCCCACCCCAACTTTACAGAGAGACTGGGGTCCAGGGAGGAAAGGCCGATGAGTGAGAGACACTCTAGTCTTTCTGCTCACCCCTTGAATCCTTATCTAGGGTTTGCTCCTCATAAGTCCTCCCCACCCAGACCTGTTCCTCCCTCAGTCCTCCCCACTCAGACCTACTCCTCATAAGTCCTCCCCATCCAGACCCACTCCTCCCTCAGTCCTTCCCACTCAGTCCTGCTCCTCCCTCAATCCTCCCTACCCAGACCTATTCCTCCCTCAGTCCTCCCCACTCAGATCTACTCCTCATAAGTCCTCCCCATCCAGACCCACTCCACCCTCATCCCTTCCCACTCAGTCCTGCTCCCCCCTCTGTCCTCCCTACCCAGACCTGCTCCTCCCTCAGTCTTTCCCACTCAGTACTGCTCCTCCCTCAGTCCTCCCTACCCAGTCCAGCTCTTTCTTCCCCTCCAGCTCATTAAACCTAGACCTGGGAGGGGGGCACACTTGATTCCTCCCTCCCCCTTGCTTGCCCCCAAGCCCTCCATGGATCAATCTCCCATTTTTCTCCTCCACCACGCTCTCTACCAGAATCCAAACCATCATCCTTGCTTGCCTGCCTTCTGATTGGGTTTCCCATTTATACTCCTAGAATCCTTCCTTCTCACAGAAACTAGAGTGATCAGTTAAAACCTAAATCGGCCTGTGTCAGTCCCCTGCTTAAAACCCGCCAGAAGCTTCTCACTGGACTTAGGAAAAAACGCAAGTCCTTACCTCAGTCTGGAACGCCCTGTATGGCCTGGCCCCCATCCCGTCTCTCCCCTCCTTGCCTCCCCTGCGCTCTCTCCGCCTCAGCCACACTGGCCCTCCTGGAGTTCCCTGAATGCCTGTTCCACGGGCTATGGGTTCTCTCTCTCCATTGTCGCCCTGCCTAGGATCTTTGCCTGGTGGTTCCTTCTCACCTCCAGGTCTTTGGATGGCACCTGAGGTGTCTGTCACCTGCGCAGACGTGTTCATGAACACCGGCCCTTATGTCGTTCCCACCCTCCTTTTTCCCTCCCCCAGCACTTTTTATTATTTGGGATACATTTGTTTGTTTTCTTACTAAACATCTCTCCAACTAGAACGTTAGCTCCGAAAGAGCAGCCTAGGGGGCTATTTTACCCCCTCCCCACCGTGCTTGTGCAGCCCAGTGCCTGGCACCCCAGGGGTGCTTCACTCGCTGCGTGACAGAATGACCCAACGTGTGTTGCAAGCCTCTTTAAGGCCTAGTGTCAAGAAAGCCCACTTCCTGAAGGGGCTCCCCATTTTCTGCCTCATATGGGAACATTCATCTAAGCAGAACATGACGGCGTGTGTAAGCAAAGCCGTGCTGCGGTTTCGGAGCCCGAGAGCTCACTGGCTCCAGGCCGCGAAAGACTGAATCATGACCAGCCCAAGGCAACGGGAACATGGGAGCCATAATGTAATCAAGTGCCTGTCAGTCAATCAGTTATCCATTGTTGAGCAAATATTTAGCAAGCCTTTCCCACGTGCTTATCTTTATGTGAAGAGCTAATCAAATCCCATGAGTCCTTCAGAGACCCAGTGCCGTGCCTTCTCTGCCAGGGAGCCCCCCCCAGGCTGCAGCCCCTTTGGCCACTTTCCTTTGCCTTCCCTCCTCCTTGAGAGGTAAGTCCCCACTCCAGCTGGCCGCTCACATCACCCCAGCTCCCTCCCTTCAACCCGGGGCGCTTACCTTGAATGGGGGAGAAGAGCCTGAAGATGGGGGGACAAGACAACACAACCACCTGGCCGTGAGGGGTGGCTGGCCAGCAGGTGAGGTTGTCCCACATCTTGCTGCAGCCTGTGGGGTGAAGGCAGAGGACACAAGTGTCAGCACGGTCACCAGGTGCCTCCAGCCCTGGGGCCTGAGCCCAGAGGCACCCACTCTCTTCCTCCTGCCACCAGGCTCCCATCTGAGACTCAGGTCTGAGAGGGGAGGCACAGCCCTGCCCAAGCTATACTGGGCCTGTCTTGGCAGGGAGACAGAGAGAGGAGGCACGACTATAGCTCCTTGGTCCTCAGTGAGGGATGGAGCATCCCCCGCGGTGTTTTGAACACTGGCGGGGGTTTTATTTGTTGCAGCGAGTGGGGGACCTCACCTGGCATCTGATGGGCAGGCAGCAGGGATGCCAGGCAGGCAAACTGGATAGTCCTGCACAGCGAAGAACTGTCTCACACTGCGTGGCTTTCAGACGAGCCACCGCAAACGTGTGTAGATGAAAACCTTTTGCAACGACCACGGCCTGGACTCTTACTCATTTCACATATGAACACAAGGTAGTTACTGCACAGGTTTGACATACATGGAGTTTTCCAGGAATGCAACCACTGAGTAAAGGGAGCCAAGACTGTGCTTTGTTTTGTTCGGAATTTTACTGAGAGTTGTTCAATGTTTTGGAAAATCGTGTTACCTACAGCAGAGCTGCCTATAATATTTGAGTCACTGATACAGCCACCCGCACATGTCGATCTACATTTATAGGTCTCACATTCCCGGAATTTATATTTATAGATACAACCTACAGACTACATCTTCTTTTAGTGCAATCATGCCTGAACATGCACATGGTATTTTATTAGAAATTACGTGCCTTTTAATTATTCTTTCACATTATAGCTAGAACACCATTTTTTATAAAAGTGAATGCGTATGTGTCCTGAATTTCATTTTATGATAGTAAAGGAGGCATTAGAAAATGTCTGTTATAAAAACAAGGTGTTGGGCCGATGAGTATATTGGGGTACAGCTAGTTCTTCAGCAACATAGGTGCTCAGCAACCCTGGGCAGCAAAACTCAGACTGTGAATTGTGACAGTGTGGGTGTTGTCAGAGAGCAAGTTCAGAGAAAACTGTGCACAGGCTGTGTTCGGCACCATGTAGCTATTCGCCTTGCAGAGCCTGGCCAGGGAAGGGTGCTCAGTGGGGTCCCTAAGGGTCTACTCTAATAGGCAGATGCAAATGCCATGCTTTTGTCCATTCAGGAGCTGAGTGCCCCTGGAGGACTAAGACTACTCTGGATCCCTTCCCTTGAGGGAGGCTTAATTGTCTCTTTGCAATCCTGCCAGTCCTTAGATTTGCTCAGGAAACCCAACCCCTGAGCCAAAGTCAATGCCAACTGGGCCAAGTCCAGCCCAGCCCAGGTCCGAAGGTTCATGAGTTCCCAAGAGGGGAGCCTGGGAAGAGGAGGTGGAGGGATATCCTCACTTGGGGAGCAGCCTCGGGACTCTGCGTGCTGGAGCGGGCTGGCAGCGGGGAGGGGTACCTTCTGGGGCTGCAGCAGTCAGGTGGTACCTGCAGCTGAAGGCTGAGGAGGAGACCTGCATCCTCAGGGCCTGGTCAGAGAGCACAGCCTCCCTTCCTCGCGGACCCCAACCATCTCCACCCCAGCCTGTCCTGAGGGCTCTGTGGTGTCATCCTGGCTGCTGGTCCCTCTCCCATTCTGTGCCAACCTCTCTGGAGGCCACGTAGGGGCCCTTCAGACCAGTCAAATCCTGCTCATGGTTCGAGACTCTGTTATTATAATAATATTAGCAAACGCTTACACAGACTTTGTGTGTTCCAGGCACTGCTCTAACCTCTTTATTTTTTATTTGTTTATTTTTTTTGAGACAGAGTCTCGCTCTGTTGCCTGGGCTAGAGTGCCATGGTGTCAGCCTAGCTCACAGCAACCTCGAACTCCTGGGCTCAAGCGATCCTTCTGCCTCAGCCTTCCGAGTAGCTGGGACTACAGGCATGCGCCACCGTGCCCGGCTAATTTTTTCTATATATTTTTAGTTGTCCAGCTAATTTCTTTTTATTTTTAGTAGAAACAGGGTCTCATTCTTGCGCAGGCTGGTCTCCAACTCCTGACCTTGAGCGATCCTTCCGCCTTGGCCTCCCAGAGTGCTAGTATTACAGGCGTGAGCCACGGCACCTGGCCTAACCTCTTTAAATGAATGACTTATTTAACTCTTCTATTTCACAAGGGAGGACACTGAGGCACAGAGTGATCAGGCAACTAGCCCAAGGTCCCACCGCTGGTGAGTGGCGCAGCCTATGCACAGGCTCCCTCTCCTCCGGGCCAGAAGGGCTCGATGTCATTTCTCTGGAAATTTTGCTGCTGCTGGACTTTGTTTACTCTTCTCTGACAGTGCTGGGCACACCCTGTTTTGTAGCCAGCTATTGTGTCTGGGTCCCTGCCAGATTTTGGGCTCTCTGAATCTCCAGCCACCAGCACACGTTGGGGAGTAGATTTGGGGCTGGGTCTCTGCCTCTGAGCTCTCCTTCACCAGGGGTGGGATGGAAGAGAGGGGGACTGTGAACTGTGCTGGGTCAGTGAGCAGGGCAGTAGGCAGGCCAGGGGAGCCAGGGAAGAGAGGCCAGTCTGGGGGACGTGGTCAAGGGAGATCCCGCAGGAGGCAGGGCAGGGCTGGTTTGCTGAGGCAGCTGGGTTGGGGTGACAGCAGTAGAGGGGGTAATAGCCATGAAAATGTTTAGTACCTGGACTGGTCTGTTGTCCTGGGCTGGGCTCTGGGAGTATTTTGGGTGTGCTCACCCCAGGGAGGCCCCATAGGCTCCATCACACACGTCACCAGGCCCATAGAAATGCAGGGCACAGGCTGGCTGTGTGTGCCCATTAGGGCTGTGACCCCAAAAGGAAAGCCCAGCCCTGAGCCTGGGGTGAGGGATGGCGAGGCCAGGTGGGGTGGGCTTCTGCAATATCATTTCACAGACTTATGTGCACACAAACACACACACTGACATGTACTTCCAAGCACATGGAACCCCATACACACATGCAAACATACATACATGTACACTTATCTGGTCACAGAAAGACCAGACATAAGCAAACGGGCACACAGAAACACACAACTCACAGAGACATACATGCATAGAGACAGACATGTCTGGGCATACCACCAACACTCACACTGGTGGACACACTCCCAAACCGACACAGCACACCAGGCAGGCACGCCTAGGCATGTGCAGGCCTAAAGAGACACACACTCCTGATTCACAAAGACACTCAAAGTCAGACACAGAGTTACAGACCCCAGAGGCACAGACACCGCCCTGGACAGACACAGGCCAGGAGCACACACCTGGTTGTGCACGAACACACACAGAGCCCCACACAGGGTTATGGGCAGACCCATGGCCCCTGACCCATGCCTGCTTCCTCTGGATCCCACGCTGCTGGTGACAGGGTGTTGGCACCCAACAGGCATGCTGTGCCAGCAATGACCTCATCAGAATCACGAGGGTGGCCTGCCCCAGGGCCTGGGAGGTGCTGCAGTGAGGCCTAGAATCTGGGGTCTGGGCTTCTCAGGGCTGCCCATAATCCCACCATTGGGGCCTACCAAGGCCTGTCTAAAGCCGGGACTGCCCCCTGCCCTGGCAGGGTGGGCTGGGGCATGTAGGTAGTGGCAGGTCCAGCCACCCCTTGACCCAGGCCTCAGTCTCTGGGCCCCAGGAAACAGGGGGCTGTCCTGCCTTGAGACTCATGGGAGGCAAAGCCTCTCTGTAAGGCTAAACACACTTACTTATGGTGCAGGAGCCAGAAAACTGGGTACCTGGGCTAAGAAGAAGGACCCAGGGGGGATCACAGAACCGTCAGCCTCAGAAAGGTGTCAGGGGAGCCTGGGAGCTGGGAAGACGTAAAGATGCTCCTTGCTCCTGAGCAAGGCTGTTCCCTAACTGAGCTCAGCCTCGGGGCATGGCCTGGGATGGAGGCCCAGAGCAGGCACAGCCACCTCACTGCCTCTAGCCCTGAGGTGCCAGCCATTCCTCCCCATCATGAGCCTTGAACCTGACACCCACCTCCCACTTCCCACCTTCCCAGCCTCTCTGTTTCTCCAAACCGTCCCACCCCTCTAAGTCTGGCTCAAGTGGCACCTTTCCGAGGAACTCCTCCCCTTCTCACCCTGGGCTGCTAAGTTAGGGGTAATGGCCCTACTGTCTGGTCTGGGAAGCTGGTACCACCCCTCACATTGCCAGGCTGGAGCTTTCCCAGACCCCCGAGGGAGTAGGTGGCGACCCCGTGTGCTCGGCCTCTGGGGCTGACCTTGACTCGGCTAATCAGCAGGATAATGAATGAGCTGACGGTTTCTCTGGCCTGCTGTGTGTGGGTTGGGAAGGCGAGGCCAGTGTGTGCACCTATGTAGGCCTAGGGGCCTGCATGTGTGTGTGTGTGTGTGTGTGTGTGTGTGTGTGGTGTCACCATAAGTCCTATGGGTGTCCCGTGGCAGAGCCTAGGCTGGAGAGGAAGGAGCTGAACCTCCCTGCCCATGCCCCTATGGTGAGTATTCCAGACCTGTCGGACTAGCTTGGTGCCCCTTCTTGCTCTGGACTGCTGAGTTGGCTTTAAGTTCCATGTGGTCCCTGTGGGAGTCACACACCGTGACCAAATGTCCCCTGCTCTTCCTCTGAGATGCTAATATAGTACAGGAGCTAATCCAGGAGTGTGAGGTTCTGGGGCCAGTTGTCCCCATCCCAGCCCCGCTTTGGGTGGGGTGGGGGTCCTGGAGCTTGCCTCCTTTCATTGCCCATGCCCCCTCACCCCCCCACGCAGCACCCTGGGCCTCCCATCTGGGTGGGCTGGCGGCCATGGGCATCATCTCCATTTTTCCTGGAGAAGAGGCATAGGGAGCCCCGAAGGCAGCTGGTTCCATGCACTTTTCAGAACCCCAGTTTAGCACGTCCTCCTCAGCTGATGCTGGGACCTCCCCAGACCTGGGGCGGGACGATGGGGACGTGGAGGCCAGTCAGCCCCTTCCTCCTTCCATTCACCTCCCCCAGGCCCTCCTCACCAGCAAGCAGCTCTGTGGTGTGATCCCTGTCCTGGGATCTCATTCAACAAATGTGGAATGAATGTGACTTGGGTCGGGGCTCACGAGGTGAGGAAACACGGGTCCCACGGGGGTCTGAAGCTCCCCTCCTCCCACAGCGGCCTCACCTGCTGTGGTCTCGTTCTCCAGCTGGGCCTCGTCCAGACACTGCTTGTGCTGCACCTCGATCATCTGCAGATAGTCACACTCCTGCTGCAGGGTGGCTGCCTGGCCGCCCTGGGGGACAGAGACAGGGAGGGGCTCATCAGCCTCGGCCACACACTCAGGGGTGTGGGGCCAACCAGGCCCCAGTCACTGTGCTGAAACTGCTCTCACTCTGGAGGGACCCAAGTTCAACTGAACCCCAATTCCAACCCCAGACTGAAATCTGATCTAGCCTGACTGAAACCTGAACCTGACCTGGATCTGACCTCAAGCAGTTGTCCACTGTACCCAAAGCCGGCCTCACCTTGAGGGCCCTGTCATGGCTTCTTAGTGGCTCCCCCAACAGTGCTGCAGGTATAACAATTCTGTTTCTTTGTAGGTGGCACGACCCAGACAGAGGCAAGAGGGCCTCTCCTTAGAGCCCTGAGCTGGCCCTCTGTACTCTGCCGCTCTCCAGCTTGGCTTGGGAGTCCTCTCTCCCTGCCTCAGTCTCCCTGGTTGGGTGGGGCCCAGCTAGCACTACCCTGTTGTGGGGAAGTAGATCCTGGCCTCTGGTTCCTGGGGCCAGCCCTGGGAGGAATCCAGGAGTCCGGCTGCATTTTCTAGCCTTTGTCTCCACTCCAGGAGCCTGTGCTCTGTCCCCTGGGTTTCTGGGCTGGGAAGGGGACTCTGGCCCTACTTGCCCAGATCTCACCTGCCTCCTTCGTAGCTTCTAAATAATTCAAGCTATACAAGATCTAACGGGGGTGGGGAAGTTTAAGGAAGTAAAAGAGGCCTCTCTAGGACCCCACCAGCCCTCCCCTGCCCCGAGAAGGTGGGCAGAAAGGATGGAAAAGCCCAAGCTTCTTCCTTCTCTACCTCTGGGCCCTGGCCAAGCATCAGGGGTGGGGCCAGATCCTTGTGACAGGGGACGCTGGCTTTCGGGAAGACATGTGAGTGGGGGGGATGGCTGTCCAGGAACAGTCAGAGAAAGCCAGGCCTTGGCAACTCTTGGGTGGGGAAGGGCAGGTGAAGGCCTCCACGAAGGAACTGTGGAGCTGGCGGCAGCTCTTTTTTCTCTCACTTTAGGAAAGTGGCTTCTGGCCCTGGCAACCCCACATCAGTTTCCTCATCTCTGCCTGGGGAGGAGAATGTCACAGTCCCTACCAGGGCCATAGGAGAGGGTCCAGCAAGACCTCTCCAGAATCATACATTCTCAGTGTCCCTCCCACCTTGGCTCTTGCCTCCCTGGGCCTCAATCCCTCCCCTGCTGACTTAGGGTTTCTTACAGTGGGTCTGTGGGAAGAGCACAGGTAGGGGGCTTCTCCTCATTTCCTTCCTTTAAGGGGGCCCCGCCTGGCCCTAGAACCAAAGTTCTTAGCACTTTGAACCTTGCTCTGTGTAAGTCAGCCCCATTGTGGGCTCTGCATCCCAGGTGGCAGTGAGCTCTCCGTTGCTGTGGAGGGAGAGAGGTCCAAGCTGAGGCCGGACACCACAGTGCCCAAGAGGCCACACAGTTAAGTTCCTGCCACCTCCACAGCTCCCCCACTCCCTACTGAAGGCTTTGGTTGGGCCTCATTGTCTCACAGGTCCCCTGTAGTCCAACTTTGCCATATGCAGATAACACCATGGCAGACCTAGGCCAGGTCTAGGGGAAGAACTCCTTGCCCAGGGCTCCTCTCAGACTTCACCATCCAGACCTCACCTGCCCATGTGCCAGTAGCCTGAAAGCCACACAGCGAACATGGGTTCTGTCTTGGATCTTTAAATTTATCAGCCAATTGGGGTAAAGACATTAACTGGTGAGTCATTTAAAACTTGGCATACTAAAGTAACACAGATCTGTTATGGAGCGGATATAGTTATTAATATTTGTATAACTGTTAAAAGAAAAGAGACGAGACTTAAAGGAAACTCTGTGCCTGTGGTTTCTCTTTGGGGTCATGTGCTTCCCCTCTTTCCCATAGGGCACTCAGCTGAAATGCTCAACATGCTCTGTCTTGAGGGGTCTGTTTCTGGCTTCTTCAAGTGTAGGGAAAAGAATGGCCAGGTGGAAGTCAGAGGTGGCTTCTGGAAGAGGAGCCTGGGGACTGGCCACCTGAGCTTGTGTCCCACCATTGGTCTGTTTTGCTTGTCTTGGAGCACACTTCTCCCCCAGGTACCTTCCCGGCTCTGTTGTCCACCAGCAACGGGTTCTTTCTGCTTTCTGGCCCCTTCCCAGCCTCTCCTGATCCTCCTGCCCATTCCACCTCCCATCACACTGCACCATGAAAGCAGGATGGTTGGTAGTGGACGTCTACTGTTTCCGCCTTCCACCATCCTTTACTCCCCTCTGGTGCCATGTCCTCACCTCTGTCGGGGAAGCTGCCTTCTTCCCTACTGCCAGTTCATGGGGGTCTGATGAACCCTCTTCCAGGAGATTGACATGTGACCAAGACTTAAGTCAACCAGAGCATTCCAGGCCACAGTGCCTGGCACATGGCCCGAGTCAGGCTACTCAGAGCCAGGAAGCTCACCCCTGGGACTTTGGATTAAACAATTAGGCAAGTGGATTTGTTTTTTCCCACTGGAGTGGAAACCTTACAGGATGCAGGGGCTGGAGCTTCTGCTGCCATCTTGTTGACAAGTGAAATGATAATGAAGGCCACACAGCTGAAGGCAGAATAGAGAGCTGGAGAAAAACCAGGCCCTCTTCACATGGTCTGAGGACCTGAATACAGCCATGCCTGAAATCAGCTCTGCTTCCAGCAACATGAGCCAATGCCTTTCTTTATGGCTTGAGTCAGTTGAGTTTTATATCCCTGTAACTAAAAGTGTCCAGCCTTATGAGCTAAGAAATAACAATGGATAACCTCACTTTCTGGGCCCTCATAAGCTAGGGCTATGGCCATGTGGTTTGCCAAGAGATATTTCTTTCCCAATCACCGTAGGCACCTAGGGTTTTGGCAGCTTTTGCTTCCCACTCTCTGAGGGTAGAAGGTGTTGCGTCAGCTTCTCTAGCCAACTCTGCTTCCCTAGCAGCACAGCTACAGAGCCCTTCCTGGGGGGCAGTTCACAGAGAAGGGAGGGGTGGCCATAGGAGACTAGGGTGTCTCTGAATAAAGTGGGGGTGGTCTGGAAGATGAGCTCTGTCTTTGCCACAATTTATTTGAGTGCTGGACCCCTCTGGAGAGGGGTAGAGGAAATGGAGACCCAAAGAGGGACCTGAGGTCACTCAGCAAATGCACATTCCCAGATGGGACCTCAGTCTCTGACCACTGGTCTGGACTGTATCAACTCTTGCACAGCCTTGTCTTAGGCCATCTGGTCAACCATTGCCCTTTGAGGGCCAGGGCCAGGGTCAGGGCAGCTCCCTCCAGCCCTTATCACTGAGGAATTTAGGCAGACTTTGGACTTCCTCTCCCACTTATTTCCCTATTCTAAACATCCTCATTATCCCTCTGGACTCTGGGCACACGGAGAGAATTAGAAAATTCCCTGGCTGAATATAGCCAAGTCTACTGATCCCAGGGAAGAGTTCCAGGGTGGGATCTAGCTGGAGTGTGGGCTTCATACAGAGTGGGTATTCTGTACCCATTCTGTAGAGGTAGGTCTTAGAGGATATGTAAGAGTTAGATAATTAGAGGTAGAGTAAGAGAACGCCAGAAAGCAGGAGTGGCTTTTGCACAAGCATGGAGGCATGAAAATGCCTAATACATGCAAGGTTGCAAGAAGCTTGGTAGAGCTGCAGCAAAGAATTCTGCGGCATCAGGAGACAAGTTGGATGTAGGCAGGAGTGAGATTAGAAGGGCTGGGATGCCAGTTTTGAAGTGTGAACTTTGGCTCCTAGGACTTTGGGGACCATCAGAGATTTGAAGCAGGAGCCTGAGGATGGACGTCACACATTTTACAAAGATCCCTCAGGTTGCAGGTGGTGGGGCTGAAAGCTACTGCACCAGTCCAGGCAGGGACTGATGAGGCCTGGGTTAAGGCAGGCAGGGCAGTGGATACAGAGAGAGGGCCCAGCTGAGCAGGTAGAATGAACAGGATTTGGTTAATCCCCATCCCCAACCAGACTCAGGGCTCTCCTGCCAACTCCTTTTCAGTCACCTCCCATATCCAGCTAATACCATGACACTGGACAGCAGACGACCAGGATTGAGGAGATGCTGTGGGCTTCCTGACTCCTGCCTGGGTCCCTTCTCCTGGCCTCAGGAACACCTGTCCTAGAGAAGGTATTGGGAGCCCAGTCTGGTCCCAAACTTCCCAGCCTCGGCTCAGCTGCAGGGTCAAGCTGACTTTAAGCTTACTTCTCAGAGCTTAGCCCAGCACAGGAATTGGTGAGGGGCTCAGGAGAAAGTCCTACTTTCTCCTCCCCCTGTGGGGCTCCCTGAGATCTGGGGCAAAGGCTGCGGTGGAGATGGGCATGGGGGTGAAGATGAGCCAAGTTGTAGCTGTTCGATGCTAGGAGCTCTGAAAGACAGGGTGGGCCCAGCTCCGGTTAGCAGGCCATATCCAATCCCCTGGTGGGCAGCCTGAGACCAGCTACTGCCTAGGGTCAGAACCCCCAACCTCAACTCAGGGGAGCGGGAGTCTCTCTGAGGAGCAGCTGGTCTCTGAGAGGAGGACAAAATGCAGTAGGCTGGTTAAGGTGAGAAGGAGGAAGAATCTGTCTGCAACTCTTCACGTACTGGGAGCCACCACGGATAATTCGATTTGTGCTTCTGAGGTTTGTCAAAGGAGGGTTCTTTTTCTCCTGCCTGAGCTTGTTACAGGTGGCAGAGGGATGGGGAGTAGAGGGCAGGGGGCTCGGGAGTGGCCCCATTTACCTTCTCCCCCATTATTCCAGCCTTTAACAGAAGCCATCTCATACCCTACCATTTATTTACGCCCAGCCCAGAAATTGTGGGGTAACAAAGAGACACAGGGAAACCGAGGACTCGAAGAGAAAACAGTATGATCAAAGCCCGGCGTCCCAGCCCTCCCCCGTGTGCTGGCTCTTGCGTGTGAATTGGTAAGGAGCTGGAGGTCCTGCCGTCAGAGGCCAGGGGTGAGGAGGGAAAGACAGGAAGGGAGAGGGTGAGGGACATAGGAGGGCACAGTAGATCA